TGCCTCTGTTCAACCAGCAGTGAATGGGTACCCGGTGGGACTGTCATGTGACCCGGATTCGATTCCCTGCATGGGTATCAATGTGTGAAGCCCATATCTTAAAGAAATGAATTCTCAGTAATAACTGAAATGAGCTTAGTTCATTTGTCGGTCGGAGTTCTGGTAGTAAATTATTTCATATACGTCATCCAGATGCCTCAAAGTGGTTACCCTGCTCGACACATTATTCCCTACAAGGGTACAATGTCTGAAGTCCATTTCTGGTGTCCCCGCCGCGATATTGCAGGAATATTGCTAAAAGCGGCGTAAAACTAAACTCACTCATTATTTTACCTGTCAGGCATCTAACAACCTTTGTGGTATAGTGGAAAGAGCATTTGTCGGAGAACAAAAGGTCGGTAGTTCGATCATGTGGAAGCGTCATACCAAAAGACGTAAAAAGAAGGTATTTTTTGTTACCATTCCTCGCCCTCGACACCAATGGGGTGAAAAGAGCCTGGTCTGCCGGAATCAGGACAGTGTGAGTGGGGGATCCATGTTTAAAGGTGTGTCAGTTGGCTGGCACTCGAAGTGGCCACTCTCTCCCTATCACCATTAAATCAGCAGTTGACTTTAATTCCTTCAAACGACTTCTCAAGACTCATCTGTTTTCACTGCATTATGACTAGCTACTAGTCCCTCATTGTATATATGTATACTAGTTACTAGTCCCTATTGTATATATGTATACTATCCACCCACTTTGTTAGCGCTTTGAGCTTGGACCTTGTGCATGGAAAAGGCGCATTATAAGTTCACATTTATTTATTATTATTATTATTATAAGCATGATGTGTCTGAAATAATGCTAGCAGCCACACATGCACAGCACTTGAAGGAGACGTCAAACCCAATTACAAATGATAGGTGAATAATCTAATTTGGAAGTGTGTTTGAACCCCCGGGCGAAGATCTACGCCATCAGACAACAACCGCACAATCTCAGCACTCACAGAGCCTGACCTCCCAATCTATTTTGTTGCCTCTTACAACAAGGACCTGTGAAGATCCGGGCTAGAATGAATCTCCAGTAACCCATGCTTGTCGTAAGGGGCGACTAACGGGATCGGGGAGTCTGGCTCGCTGACTTGGTTGACACATGTCATCGGTTCCCAATTGCGCAGATCGATGCTCATGCTGTTGACCTCTGGATTGTCTGGTCCAGATTCGATTGTTTACAGACCACCGTCATATAGCTGGAATATTGCTGAGAGCGGCGTAAAACTAAACTCACTCACTCACTCACTCTTACGACAAGCAATATGGCGAAGAGGACTTCCCACCGGCTTCCCGAACGTTCAAAGTGAAACAGAAAAATCTTTTTGAAAAGAGAAAACAGAACAATAAATGATATTAATGTATGATTAATTAATTTCAAATATTCAAGAGGGTTGTAGAGTACCACAATCATTTGAGATGATTCAAAGCGAATCGATAGTCTTCAGTGTTTTAATCTACGATAATGCAGTCGTCACATCTATGAGTGAATATGATTTTAGTAATATTGCAGTTGTATCATGGCGGAGGACGCTGGAAATGGCCTTCCCACAGTATGTCCATGTGGAGAATCGAACCCAGGTGTGTGTGTGTGGTGGAGGGGAGAGGGGTTAAGACCACGAGGCTAGCGACATGTTTGAAATAACAAACCTTAATTTTTGTCACATATTCGCGTGGACAATTCTTGCCCTGGAGTGATTCTTGTTCACAACAGACTATAGAGACTATTGATTCCAGACAGCGCCAATTAATTTTAGATATAATGATGACAATCGTTACTTGACGAGACCTGTGTTAGACATTAAGTATATCGATTTAAAGCTGGTTCCAGAAATTGCTTGAAAGAAATGATTGTACACGATTGGTACCGGCGCACACTGGAAGTCCTGGAAGATAATGGGTAAAAATGTTAGCCTGCGACACACACACCACCACCACCACCCTACCCACCACCATCCCCACTCACACAGTCCTTATTGGGGAAATAACCCTAAAAACACCCCAATAACAACCACAAATCCAAAACACACACATATACTCACTTTGTGAAAACCAGTTCACAAGCCAACACGGCCACTTCCACCCACAGACCCACACACCCTGTCCCCGACCACCCCAAACACCTCACCCAAAAGCCGGATACAAGACAGTCGTTTCGCCTGATATCAACTTGGTTACAGCAAGTACACAGGCAAATGATTATAACCTGAATTAATAATGAACTTCACACCTGACAGACTACATATTCCAAGGACATCAGTATTGATTTATTTGTTAAATGTTTATTCATCATTTGTAAGCTGAGATCCTATACGCATATTTCAAGCTGCGGGGTATGAGCTGTGATGTCTGAATTCACAATACCGAGGCCTTGAAAGCGACACCCGTTTATCCGGAACCTTCACAGTCGGGACACCCTCCAATAAATACTGTTTACAGCTTGTTCAGCTTGACCTGATCAAGTGAATACTAATGCATAACGTGACTGTGTCACAACTGGTTGGGTCTATTATTGTGAAGGTGTGCACCTTTGTTAGTTGATTGTTAACATGTCCGAGACAAGGTTGCCGTTTGACATCTCTGTGTCGATGTCTTAACTTTCCGATTGATAAAATAGAAAAAATGGTAATTGGACTGGGTGTAGAGAGTGATAGCGAGAGTGATTCGGATTGTGAAAATAACTGACGTCCACACGTACATTGTAAAGTTAGTAAACCAAGCTAGATAGTATAGCATATGACTGTATAAACACTTAAATTAAAACATGAAATGATTGTTTTTTTCAGAAGTGTTGTTTTCCGGGACAAGTTCTGTAACGAATCCATGTATGCATGCTTCGCACGAACGCAACATCAATTACATTCTCTGCTCCCCTATTTAATGAAGTTAACTCGACCTGCGGTTTTTGCCATTTGACGTCCCGGGTTATGCATATGTAGAGTAGTTCAGGCCAAGGGGAACCAGCTGTAGTAGGTTCACATGCATTGAAAGGTACTGGCTGAGTAAGTTATTAAAGTAAATCTGGTTAATTTAGGTAATGGTAGCGTTGATATTGTAACGTCTAATTTTGGAGCATGTGTCACTCAGTCCTCCACGTGCGGTTGGGTGGCCTTGTGGTTAAAGCGTTCGCTCGCCACGCTGAAGCCTGGGTTCGATTCCCCGATTTCCGGTGTCCCCCGTCGTGCTATTGCTGGAATGTTGCGTTATACTAAACTCATCCACTCACTCACTCACTGCAATTCGCCGTGCAGAGTTGCGTCCCTTTTGCACAAGGTCTTTGATTCCGGAACGGGTTGTGCCAGAAACCCATGATTGAAACCCAAATGTTTCGAGGTTTTTTAGGAGTTTTTTGTCTTGACATTTCAAAGTCTAAACGTACAGAACGTACACCAGTAGATGCTAGCTGCAATACAACTATTTAAAGCAGCATTTCCCAGAAGGTCACGTACACCGCTCTATTGTACTGTGAATCATCTCGGACTTTTTTCACTAAGCTGTCTGGCTCTCGGTGGATAAAACAAGAACAGTCTGGCGCGCAGTCAGTAAACAGTGTTTGTGTGGGGTCTCCACATTCAACTGCGGCATAGTACATGTATCTAGCTGTAATGGGGGACAGTGGGGTAGCCTAATGGTTAAAGCGTTAGCTCATCACGCCGAAAACCCGGGTTCAATTCTACACATGCTTACAATGTGTGAATGTCTGTGTCCCCTGACTTGATATTGCTAAAAGCGGCGTAAAATCAAACTCACTGGCTGACCTTTTACAAAGGTTCCATATAGCTCTTTGGTAAAGGGGGGCGGTGGGCTAGCCTAGTGGTTAAGGCGTTCGCTCGTCACGCCAAAGACGCGGGTTCGATTCCTCACATGGGCACAATGTGTGAAGCCCAATTCTGGTGTCACCCACCGTGATATCACTGGAATATTTCTAAAAGCGGCGTAAAACTAAACTCACTTTGCTAAAGGTGGCGTAAAACTAAACTCTCTCACTCGAGTTGTGATGCCCTTTTACCTATCTGAGCGTGCATACCATAATTCCTGTTATGAATGTTCAACTGCGTGACGGTAGATAATGCTTAGTCAGCATGGATGCAGGCAAGGTCTTCAGGAATCCAGCTGTCATTACTTAAAGAGCCGTTATGCTCTTTTGCCAATTTTGGTATTATTAATGTCTGCAATAATATATTTCGTTCCATGTGCATGCATTCACCAGGCAGATATTTGAAGAAGTGTCATTAGTATTGACATGTGTAGTGTAATCAAAGAACACAGGTGACATTCTCCGCCGCCTCATTCTTGAGGCAAGAGCCCCCATTATTCTGGTCATAAGTATTTATAGGAATTTATTTGATCGATACGTTCTGAGCCTTACGCAGAAGGAATTGCGTAATCATGAAATCTTTTGTTGTTTTTGTTTGTTATTTAACGCCGCACTCAGCATTATCCCTTACATATGGCGGCGTGCTGCAAATAATTGAGTCGGCACAAGAAAATCCGGTGACTGACAAGGGTGAGTGAGTGAATTTAGTTTTACGTCGTTTGTAGCAATATTCCAGCAATATCAGGGCGAAGAACACCAGAAATGGGCTTCACACACTGTACCCATGTGGGGAATCGAACCCGGGTCTTCAGCGTGACGAGGGAACGCTTTAACCACTAGGCTCCCCCACCGCTCCCGACTGACAAAATGGCCATCTGGATAAACAAATAAGACAAGATGACATACATTGAACATTGCGCGAACAATGTATCATCGTTGTCATGGAGATAACATACTGTTGAGGCAACTGCGCAAAATGTTTCGATGTAACAGGTCTCGAGGCAAAGTGTGCTTGCAGAATAGGGGCTAGCATAAAAGGCCATCCAGGAAGATGTGATTACAACATTCCTCTTCTATTACACCTCACGTGTGGCTCGTTGTTCTAACTGTAGGAGTTTTTGCATACTTCTAAAAATAACAACAAGAATCATTTTAGTCATTTATTCTGGACCTGTTGCAAACTGATATTAATGACGTTTACCGCGGAGTTAGTACATGTTAGTTTGATTCGCTGTTCATTAGCGGCATCTTGATTATCTGCCGTCTCGATTGCGATCTTCTTTGATGGTGGGGAAGATGTACCCGTGGCCTTCGTGTCCGGTGCTGGTGGTTGTATCATGTCCGATATCTCCCGACATCGCCACCTCCCATAACTGGAAAGGCAAAGACTGGTCCCTTAAAATGTGCTGGAAATGTTTTAACCTCATTGAAAACAATGTCATATTGGTTGGCCATCTTCAAAAGCCAGAAAATAGATGGAATATAACTATAATGTTGCACTGCTCATGCAAATACGGGAAGAAAAGTATTTATTCCGACTATGATATGAGGATATGGGAAGCTGTGTGAGCGAATGAGTGAGTTCAGTTTTACACGCTTTTAGCAATATTCCAGCAATATCACTACCGGGAACGGGAAGGTGAGAAACTGTGCGTTCTTTCAAAGGCCGGACAACAGATGTATAATTATGTTGCTCAAGAGACGCGGGAAAGAGACAAAGTGTGATCACCTATAAACAGGAAGTCCGTATGAATAAACAGTCATCATCCATCAATAGGGCTTTGCACTCCCTAACTACGTCAGACTTTTCCCAAAACCACAGAAAGCTTCATTTGGAGCCCATGTTGAATCTAACCTTGACGTCACAGAATCTGGGTGGTAACATAGTAACAGCGGATTTTGAAATCGGACCAAATATACGTTAGAACAAATACACTGTGATATCATCTTAGTGATATCATCTTAGTGATATCTATGTAGGCGTGGATATCAGTAACATTACCTCCCATCCACCCATCTCATGCTTTACCATTCATTATAATAAACTATACTTTCTTTAACAGGAAATGTTGCTTTACAATCTGTTATTACTCTCCATGTGCCACTTCATACAGATATACAACACTGTAGGGACACTCACAGAATCTTGCCGAAGCAGGAATGGCCCATTACTCCAAGGCACCCTAATTCGCTGTGCAGAGTATCGTCCCTGGTCAAGACAATAAGCTACGATCGTGAGTTCGATTCCCGATTCTCCCCGACAGGTTCTAGTTCTGTCAGCACCATCCCCCAGATCGCCGGTTTCAGGTTTCACCGAAGTGGTTAACTCCTGAGATCATCATATGTTCTGTACTCCAACAACACACTGACATGTAATGATATAAATGGATTACTCTTCAAAGTTACATGACCGCCTCCGTGGTGTAGTGGTTAGAGCGTCCGCCCGGAGAGCGGAAGGTCGCGGGTTCGATCCCCGATCGCGTCATACCAAAAGACGTTAAAATGTGGTACTTGTTGGTCCCTGCCTGGCGTTCGGCATTAATGGGTACAACAAGGACTGGTCGGCTCGGAGTCAGTATAATGTGTCTGAGTTGGGTATTCATGCTTCACTGCGGCATGGTATCTCAGTGAGCTAGCACTATAAAACCAGCTTCAGTCTGGGCTAGTACAAGCAGCCGCACATACACATACACATGCATGCACGTCGTCATATGAGCGAAATATTCTCAAGTATACGACGTTAAACCCAATTTCACCTCACCTCACCTCAAAGTTGCATGAAACTCACTCACTCAAAGAATCTCGCCCCTATCAGCTTAAAAGTGAGTGAGCTTGAATTTATGCCACCTTTACCAATATGTCAGCACTACCAGGGCGGGGGACACCAGAAATAGGGTTCACACATTTTACCCATGTGGTAAATTGAATCCGCTCTTCGGTGTGACGAGCGAACCCTTTAAACACTAGCCACCCAACCGCCCTCTGCTTGAGGAACGCCTTAATCCGGAATCATGATAATCCGGACAATTTCATACTGAGTACAATCTGGATGAATGATTTAAAAAGGAATTGAAAGCATTAATCTTAATTAAAGTTACAAATCAATGGAATACGTTTTACACCTAATCAGATATTCATTGATTTGGGTCAAACGTATAAAATACTGACGAACAGAAAATGAGTTTCACGCACATATTATGGATCTTCAGCCACCGGTTGGCATATAAACACAGATATATAATCTTCCCTGTCTGACTTTGAGACTTGATATGGGATCACAGGAAGCCACGGCGTTCAGAAGGCGTAATTTGCTTCCATCTTTGCCCTTGGGAAGAAAGTAATAAGCACCACGCCCTTTGCGGACTGCAACTGTCGCGATATCGAACTAGCGAAGTTGCTGTCGGTTCAGTCGGGTAGGGGTAGAGACGTTTAGTGAGGCTGAAGCTTACAGCGTGGTCTGGGTAACAGATGACCCCCAAGCCCATCCGCCACAACACCACCCAACTTCTATGCTACAATATCTTACAGCTACTTTCATCTCTAACAAAAGAAGACAGAGGCTGTCGCATAACCACTGCTATTAGATCCGGGTTAGACTTTGTCTTTATCAACCAACCCATGCTTGTCTTGATAGGCGACTAACGGTATCGGGTGGTCAGGGTCACTGACATGGTTGATGCTGACAAACTAAAGACTCATCTTTCAATGTTTTATATTCACTTTTGATAGGATTTCATCAAGTAATAACTGTATGCTTGTATCTATCGGGACATTTGAAATAGATATTTACAGCAACGCTGAGTTTGTGGAATAACGAAGGTCCTGGTTATGGGACTCACTGTATACAGGTGCTCCCCCTTTGCATCCTTGAGATAAAAAGACAAAGGTTCATCTCGATCAGTCAATATCAGTCAATAACCAGTAAAAGTAATTGAAGGTATAAGAGAATTTTCCCGCAGTAACATTTGAGTAATCAATTTTCTTCTCTGGATTGATTAAATGAAATTTAAAGCATTTAAAATCACGTAAACTCGGCCATTGTAAATTCATCCCCAAATCGTGTCCTCACCACCAAGAGCCATTATCCTATATCGTCAGCGTCCCTGATAAATTACAAGTAAATTACTTTCCTTCACTACGCTTATAAACACGGGCATCGATCTGCCGTCGCTAACCATGCTGGTTCAACTAATAAGTCTAATTGTTTCACATAGGAATAGCACAAGACCGCGACATGATGAACAGAGGTTGGATGAGGCAGCTGACTAGCTGCTGAAGCTGTGGATGGTGTCAGAGAACAGTCTTAAGGGTTGAGAAAGCCTTTCGCTTATAATTGCGAAGTGATAGGGTGGTTCAGATAGCAGGGGTGTATTGGCAGAAGAAAGATCATTACGAGAGAAATAGGAATGGAAATATTTAAAGGACTTTTGTAAATGGTTCAGGTGTTAATTCACGCTGCACTATGGCGTATGGTGATGGAACGCTATAAATGTGGTTGTCACCATGGTAATTAATAGCTTCCGTATATGCTAGTGTTTGTTTCAGCTTCAGCAACATTGAGTTTGGACAAATTTACATTGGTTTTGACTGTATTTACAGTATAATCCCTATTTGGAATATACATGTATATACCAGCCACATTGAAATTGTAGTGGAGACAAATGGATATGTCCTCATATCAGTTCATGGGTACCCGGAAGGATGTGATGTTCTGTATTTTTTAATACATCGCCTAGAAAACCACTGGATTGCTTCCATTTACTGCAGCGTCGTTAAGATTTCAAACCAAAAACATACAGCTGTATAAAAGAAACAAATGCAATCTTGGTTTGGAAGGGTATATTGTGGAGGTGGGGTTCACTCGGAGTTTGGACCCGTGAAGACCCGGGTTAGAATTAGTCTTCAGTAACTCAGGCTCGTTGTAAGAGGTGACTAACGGGACCGGGTGGTCAGGCTTGCTGACTTGGTTGTCACATTCAACGTTTCCCAATTGCGTAGATCGATGCTTATGCTGTTGATCACTGGATTGTCTAGTCCAGACTCGATTATTTACACACCGACGCCACATATCTGGGATATTGCTGAGTGCTTGGAGTGTGTCTTGTATGCAATCGCTTCAAGACATGAATTGTTTTCTCGTTGGAAAGAGTGAGCCAGATAGATTATTTGAGACTCTCAATGTATTACAATCAGAACAGTGCCCACCAGTGGGCGATTTTGGTGTTGATAACCCTTGAATTAAATTATACTCTTCAAACATATTCAGGTAGGCATTGCCTTCAAATAGATTTCCAAACCCTCGTCCATGTTCCACCTTCATATCAAATTGGGCGATTGGTGCTATTTCATAATGTGATAAATATGTATTTGCGGAAGGGTCATTTATTTCAATGATCATTCTGTAATGTATCAGTAAATGGGTATTACTACAATAAGGCGAGTTAAGTGCTCAAGTAAGCTGTTGTCTGAAGAAGAATGGGATCAATCCGTGGCTTGGGCGACACCTGAGATGTACATATAGTCACGTCATGGCACTGATATGATGGAAGTGTTTGGCAGCAGTGTGACTCAATGGGTTAGTGTTCTGAACTGGTGTAAAGTTCAAATCACTCTTCCATCAAAGTAAGCTTTCTGTTCTATTTCAGATGATTTCCTTGACTTTTTGTACCATACCTGCGACCTTTAGAAACATTACATTACGTTTCTGTGCTGAGTGATTTTGAGTGAGAGAGTTTGAGAGAGAGGGGCCAGAGGGGAAGATAGAGACAGAAAGAGAGAGAGTGGCGGGAAATTAAGAGAGAGAGAGAGAGAGAGAGAGAGAGAGAGAGAGAGAGAGAGAAAGAGAGAGCGAGAGAGAGAGAGAGAGTAAGAGAGAGACAGAGAGAGCGAGAGAGACAGACAGAGAGAACGAGAAAGAGAGAGAGAGTAAGAGAGAGAGAGTAAGAGAGAGAGAGTAAGAGAGAGAGAGAGTAAGAGAGAGCGAGAGAGAGAGAGAGAGAGAGAGAGATGGGAAGAAATATGCATTCCGCACCTGTACCTTCGTCTCTATGCAAAATTCAGCGTATTGTTCATTGAACCGTGACGGAAGCTTATGTTCGCATGTCCTGGTACAAAATCGATAGACTGCACGCAAGCGATCTTGCTCATGGGTTTTTCATGTTGTCGATCAAAGTAACTAAAGGAAATATACAGTTCGTTGCTATGGTGATGTGTTTATTGCCTACGTTGTCGTTGCGGTAGTAGTAGCTATATCTGCAGTAGTAGTACTAGTAGAAGCAGAAGTAGTAGAAAGCAAAGTAGTAGTAACAGTTGTAGTAGGGTAGTATTAATAGTAGTGACAGCAGTAGAAATAGTAGTAGTTGTAGAAGTAGTAGTAGTAACAGTAGTAGTAGTAGGGTAGTAGTAATAGTAGAGTCATCAGCAGCAGTAGGTTAGTAGTAGTAGTAGTAGTCGTGGTGGTGGTGGTAGTAGTAGTAGTAGGTTAGTAGTAATAGTAGAGTCAGCAGCAGCAGTAGTAGTAGCGGTAGCAGTAGCAGCAGCAGTAGGAGTAGTAGTAGGGTAGTAGTAATAGTAGTAGTAGTAGTAGTAGTTGTAGGGTAGCAGTAATAGTAGTAGTAGTAGTAATGGTAGTAGTAGTAGTGTCGTAGTAATAGTAGTAGTAGTAGTAGTAGGGTAGTAGTAATAGTAGTTGTAGTAGTTGTAGGGTAGTAGTAATAGTAGTAGTAGTAGTTGTAGGGTAGTAGTCATAGTAGTAGTAGTAGTAGTGGTAGCAGTAGGAGGGTAGTAGTAATAGTAGCAGTAGTAGTAGTAGTTGTAGGGTAGTAGTATTAGTAGTAGTAGTAGTTGTAGGGTAGTAGTAATAGTATAGTCAGCAGCAGCAGAAGCAGCAGTAGTAGTAGTAGTAGTAGTAGCAGCAGCAGCAGTAGTAGTAGTAGTAGTAGTAGTAGTAGTAGTGGTAGTAGTAGTAGGTGGTGGTGGTGGTAGCAGTATCTACACAGGGGCTGCACCAGGGATAGATATACTTCCGCCCGATCCCATCTAGAAAAGAACAGATCATTGGCTCCTACACAAACCCTCTCTGCTTGGTGATTTGCGAACCCTTCCATGGAACAAATGTTCATATTCAACCTTTAAGTGAACAAATGGATTTAGCACTTTTGATGATGACTCCATTAACATCAGCTTTAAATGGAAACTTATCACTAAGACCAACGACGGTCAGCTTGGAACATGGACACATTACAGACAGGATCTCCATGGGAAATTAGGTGGCTGATATCATAAGTAACACTGGCTCCATCTTCAAGGTCGCGCCGTCAGGGTACG